GAAACATGGAGGTTAGTGCCACCACCTTCATCCTCAACAAACATTGTTGGCTCTAAATGGGTATTCAAAACTAAGCTTCATCCAGATGGAAGTATAGAAAGATTCAAGGCACACCTTGTAGCCAAAGGCTTCTCTCAAATACCAGGGGTTGATTTCGATGAAACATTTAGTCCTGTCCTCAAACCTACAACATTACGCCTAGTCATTGCCTTAGCCACAACTCTGAATTGGTCTCTTAGACAATTGGATGTGAAAAATGCCTTTCTTCATGGAAAACTCAAGGAGACAGTATACATGACTCAACCACCAGGTTTTGAAGACCCAAAATATCCTAACCATGTTTGTAAACTCAATAAATCCATCTATGGCCTCAAACAAGCTCCGAGGGCATGGTTTGATACATTTACATTGCATCTTTTGAAGATGGGATTTAGCTGCAGCCGAGCTGATTCTTCTTTGTTTGTGCTCCATAACAATCAAGGTACTACATTACTCATGCTATATGTTGATAACATTGTTCTCACTGCCAGTTCAAAACTTCTGTTACAGAGTATTATTGACCATCTTAGTAAGGAGTTTGCACTTAAGGACCTTGGGCAACTTAGCTACTTCCTAGGTATTGAAGTCACACCCTTTGATGGAGGTACTCCTCTTTCGCAAGCAAAATACGCCACCGACCTTCTTACTCGAAGCTCTATGTTAGAAGCATCAACAATTGCAACACCTTTGGCCACTAAAGACACTACTACCTTGAGAGACATGGAACCTGTGAATGCCAAGGAATATAGAAAAATTGTGGGAGCTCTCCAATATCTAACAATTACTAGAACTGATATTTGCCATGCTGTCAATAAAGTGTGCCAGTTTATACAAAATCCTACTCTAGCTCATCTTCGACAAGTTAAGCGTATTTTGAGATATATCAATGGTACTCGGCATTATGGGCTTCGTTTTTACTCCTCCAAAACCTTATCTTTGACTGGATTTTTGCGATGCCGACTGGGCAGGCTGTGTCACTACAAGAAGAAGTACTACAGGGTACTGTGTTTTTCTTGGAGCAAATTGTATCTCTTGGTCCTCAAAGAAGCAACCCACTGTGGCGAGATCTACTGCTGAAGCAGAGTACCGTGCATTGGCTTCCGCTACTGCTGAAATAGTATGGATTACGTATATTCTTCGTGACATTGGAATTTCTTTACCATCACCTCCTCAATTATTCTCTGATAATATCAGTGCTCTTCATATGTCTATCAATCCTGTATTCCATGCTCGAACAAAACATATTGAATTAGATTACCATTTTGTTCGAGAGAAAGTGGCCATTGGTACTCTAGTGACTAGGTACATTCCTAGCACTGAACAGCTCG